CGGCGCAGCACGGTCCCTCCCCTCCCCCAACGTCGCGCGTGGGGCTCGGGGGGTCCCAGCCAGGGCAGGCGGGACCCCCCTGGCTGCTGGTCCCCTTCGCGCGGTGAGAAAATGCCTTCCGCTCCCGGTCACTCGTGCTTGGTCTCACATGGTGCATTGTTTTAGCTGCTAGGGCGATATCAGGTTCTGCAGGGCAGGGGGAGAAATAATACAAAAAAAAAAGGATAATAATAATAGCAGTAATAAAAAAAAAGAGGGCCCCCCCCCCCAAGCAAGCCCACAATGCTCTCTGAAGGAGCCCTGCGAAGTTGCGCGGGGGCGTGTGTGCCCGGCCGCCAACCTGGAGCAATTTTTTTTTTTTTTCCGGGGAGAGGAATGGAAGCAGGGAGGGAAGATCTTTTTATTTCGCTGCTTGTTTTGATGGCAGCTCCCAGGAGGCTGCGATTTTCTGCTGCCTAGTTAGTGCCCCGTTAATCCTGACTCGGGAGTGACTCAGGCGAAGCCGCTGGCGAGGGCTGATTATTTTTTTATCGGGGGAGGCCGGGGCGCAGCCAGGGCCGGGGCGCGGAACCGGCGAGCGGGACGCGCGGCGGCACCGCGGGCAGAGCCGAAGGGGGGAGACAGGGACAGGCGAGGGCAGGTAAAGGAGAACCCAGCGCGAGCATTTAAACATATATATTTTAATTACGATATAAATGATTTCTTGTCGTTCGTCGGTGGCAAAAGCTCACAAATTTGTACAGCTGCCGACTTAAAATATATATATCTGCTTCTCATTTATTCCCTCTCTTTCTTTCTTTCCTTCTCTCCTTCTCTTTTCTCAGTCACGGTTTCTCAGGATAAATGAATGTGCTTTTGATGGGGATGTAAGATCTGGCCCATTCGGCTCCCGTAATTCAATCCTGTCGGTGCCGTGCTCGCGGTACAGGTTGTGCTGAGAAATATGCGGGAAAAGTGGTGGGAATTTTTTTCTTCTTTAGCGGTTTGGATTGATTTAAGAAGCTGAAGGGGTATTTTATTACTGGTCCAAAACAATGTTAGAGCTCTTAGGTTAAACTTTTAGAATTCCCCTCTTTTTTCCCTCCTCCCCACGTAAACACAGCGGCTGGAGGAGGGAAACGTGAGATTTTATTTTTATTTATTATTATTTTATTTTTTACAAGGAGGGAGAGAAGGAGCCCGACTCCCCTCCGCGGAGCGGTGTCGAGCTGAGAAGCCGCAAACTTTCCCGAGGAGGTGACGGCCCCGCAGCCGCCGGGCTCGGTGTCGGTCGCGTCCCCGCCGCCTCCCTGGATTCGGTCGCAGCTCCGAAAGTCGCAAGTTACCTGCTCTGGCGCAGCAGCAGCCGCGCAGTCGCTTGGTCCTGAATTAAACACAACTCTTAATGATGTAGCATTATCAGCAAGGGACACTTGATTGACTGATCTAGGTATGATATATGTGCTGGGCGTCTAAATTAAATATTAAGTGAAATACTTAGCTCTAATTAGAAATCGCAACCTAGCAATGAAAACTTGGAGAAACAAATTGCGGGGGGAGGGAAGGGGGCAGCCTCTAAACGCGGTAGTGAAGAAAGTAGCAGTGATGTGTACAGAGGCTGACATATTCGCAACAACCAGCAACTTTGAAATGATTGACGTGCCATTAAAACCATCAGGCTGACTGTAATAATTCCTCTTTTTTTTTTAGACATCATAGACAAGTTTTTATTTATCAGCGCATTAAACCCGAGGAAAATTAAAATATAATTAGAACCAGAGAAGAGAGAGAAGGAGGGAAGGTGAGGGGAAATCTGCCGAAGACTTTAACAAACAAACACGCAGAGAGAGAGAGAGAGAAGGGGAAAGAAAAAAAAAAAGAGAGAGAGAGAGAGTGACCCACGAGCCCTCGGCTTATCTGGGAGATGGAGCTGTCGGGGCTGGCTGCCCTCTCCCCCGAGCGCGCCTTCCCGAGGTAAACAGCCACACAGTTGCCGCAACTTTCTCCTTTAACACAAAGTTCCTGGTGCGATGGGAAATTTGAATATTTTATCAGTCTCTTGTAGTGACCCTCATTAGGTGGGCATCCTGCTAAGGCCCCGGCGTTACAAGAAAGCTGCCCAATCAGAGCATTTGCACGCCTTGTTAGCGATGGTTAATGAAGCTTCCCCGTGCACTCAAAGAAAGGCCCCCTCGATGTAGATTTACCTTATGTCAACTCGTTACTTCTAATGAATCGCATCAAAATTCTTCCCTGAATGAGGCTGAGGCGACGGGGACCCGCGGCCCCCTCCCCGCCCCGGCCGAGCCCACCCCTAACTCCGCGCCTGCCGGTGCGCGGAGCAGCCGCGCCGGCCCGCGCAGCATCCGCGCTCGGCTCGCTGGTTGGGGGGCGGCAGATGGGGCGGTGGGTCCGTACTGCAGGCGAGGCCAATCCCGGCTGCCGGGCAGGTAGATGTTTGCTCCTCCCCTGTGCATTGCCAGCCCTAAGCTCCCGCCCTCCCCGCACACACACACACACCGCCTTTCCCCAAACTCCCCCACCGCCCTGTCCCTCCGGGCCAGCATTTTAAAATCAATTAGTATTTTCAATTCTTGAGGTGAATTATTCAAACAAATGTTTGGAAGACCCTGAGGGAGAATTTGGCCGTGACAAAAGGTTTGATTAGCTTTATTTCCCCCAAAAAGCAACAAAGGCGTGGGGCTGCGAGAACAATCCGCTACATCAGGGCATGTTCAATTAAATGAAAGTCATTAGCTTCGCCGGGAAAGCACTACCTTTAAAATCAGATGGGGCTGGCGGGAGTGTGGGGGGGTAGTCTGATAATTGTAGCAGGAAGATTTAATACCCCCCCACCCCTCCTTCCCTCTTTACACACAAAGCCCTCCAAAAAGAAGAAGGAAAAAAAAATCCTCACACACACTTCACCCTTTGGAAATTTGTGCTCAGTCTAAACAATAGGAAGCCCATAATGCAGATTATAACACTCACTGACTCGAATCCATTATCTGCCCTCCACACTGTCTATATATTGATTCCCATATACTTTCTATCGCTCTCAGTGACCGAGCAAAGCTCCCGTTAAGAGCCCGCGACGCGCGGGAGCGCTGCTCGAACCGCGTCTCCCCGCTGCCCGCTGGAGCCCCTTGTCAACACGGAGCGCTCCCGCTCCCCCCGCGCAGCCCCGAGCAAACCGCGCAGCACGCGAAAAGCCGCGGAGCCGCCGGGCCGGCACCACCGGCACCGGGGACTGGGCCGGGACAGGGCCC